TCAGATACAGAGATGTACTGGACAAACCTACTCATTTCGCCAAAAAACCTAACTATGTGAATACGTCTGCATTCTAGGAAGCAGATCAAGTTAGGATAGCATTTATGTATTACAATGAATAAAACAAACTGATAAATATGAAACCGATAAATCACAGCAACGGTAATCATCGCGAGCACAGCCTCTGGGATAAATGATTTGCGCTCCAAATAGACCATTTTGTAGAACTTGTCAAGAGAGGAGTCCATTAATTCCATACAGATCCAGCATTCACTCTCATGAAATATGGCTCCATAAAAGGTGACAATTCGTTCGAATTTCGATTTCATAATAATGTGCAGATCCTTAAGGGATTTGTTTTTCTCACGCTCATTTAACACTGACCGAACAATCTAAGAGATGTGGCAAAAATGTTACTGCAACTCACCTTCACTGCCATTGAGCAAGTAAGCTTTCGATGCCGCATTTTTTGAACAAATGCAAAGTTACCGTGTCCCAGCTCACCCTCATTGATTAGATCGTTTGCAGTAAAGCGCTAAAAACGATTAAGATATGCGAAAAGGAATAACTACATAATCTGTGCATACACCAGGAATAGTTAGCTTTGCTACTGCGGGAACGGGGACGCTGGACCTAAAATATCCGATTGAAGGCGCTGCGTACTCGGTGCCGTTGATGGATTGTTTTTCCAATGCTGTTATAGGAAGATTCTGACTTGGGCGATCAAGAAATGGCATTTTTTCGACAGAGATTTTAATTAAGACATAGTGACAACAAAACAACGCAAAGACACCGATCAAATCTATCACGCGATCTAGAGTCTTAACAGTGATTGGTCAGTAGGAATGGCGAAGTTTCAATAACTGAAGGAACCGAAGCATTTAAAGTGATTACAAGGTGAACAGAGATTACAACGGCTACCAAAAATTCGCTTTGCCAAAGTGTCGTGTGAAAAACGTTAGCAGAAATAAATGAGATACAACTCTAACAGCCTTATCTTTTAACACATGTTATGTAAACTTTCGAATTCAACTAAAAGTAAATTTATTAAATCTGAGGCAAAAAGCATTAAAAAATTGAGGGCATAAACATAACTAAAGCACTGAGCGAATTTATTTGCAATCAGGATTTGCATGCATCGGTAAGTCGCACATGCTTTCCAAGTTGAGTACACTATAGTAGATGTGTCCCACTTCTCTCCACTCCTTATGCACTTGACTCCAGTGTTCTAAGCAGAGGGGCGATAGAAGAGAAAATTTATTGGGCACTGAACTGTAATTACGATCAGCAGATGTAGTAGCATGGATATCGTAATAGTTTGGTTATACTACCACTTAATATCTGACGTTCAATTTCGGCAGTCCCCCGATCCTCGTGTTAATGAGCTGACCCTATGGCCAACCTCAGGATTAATCTTTTTGCCTCTCTTAATGCCTCCTGTTCTCGGACTGTAAGTTCCAATCTGCCATAGCTCTGATGTACAAGCCAGCCTTGGTAAAATTCCCCTCCATCTACATTTTCATCGTTCAAGCTTATTTCGAGCTTCCTTTCTAGGGAGCACACTTTCGGCAACCAAGGTATATTGTAGTTGCAATGGTTTGGTGACGTGACCACTTGACGTTTGACGGTCACTTTAGGATTTGTCTGGTCCTGGTACTCGTGTGCTGGTCTTCGGACCATGCTCAGGCCTGGTTTCATTGTTCTCCTCGGAACGCCTGTATCCAGCTTCCTCCTAGTAAAAAGTCCAGGACGCTATAGCAGTGAAAAATAAAGATTTTTCGCCGTAATCTGCCTTAAAGCAAACACTTTCGAGAAACTGGTACTGGGATTTCTGTTCATTCACTTTGGCAGTGGTTCTTACATGCTTGATAGTTAATGTGATTGCCACGCTTAGGATGTGACTATCCAGCTTTTAAAGCTTTGGTTATTTCCCTCTCTACTACCGCGTTCAAATGCTATTCTCGAATTTAATAAATACTATGAACTGAAAGTTGTGTTGTGCTTATGATGCGCATTGTCTAAAAGTGTCAAAAATGGAATATACATTCCAGAGCAGTGCTCGCAAAGGAGACCTATTTGTGATGTCACGAGACAGTTCGCTGGATAGGAGGATGTTACAGGAGTTGCACACTTGTATCAGACAGAAGAGGGAAGGACATGGCGATTCGGGTCGGCTCTAATGCCAGCTCACGCAGCATAGATTAAGGTGATAACCAAAAGGAATGACCATAGTGCATATACCTTTTTCCTAATCCATTTTCTCAGCGTCCTCATCGGTTCGCATCCTGAGCTGTCCATTTAGACGTATTTGGTGTTGCAAATAACAGTTAATAGTGTAGCGCTCCGGAGCTTCCAGTAGGGTGAAAGTAAGCATAAGTAAAGTTGTATACATGCTTTCCGAAGAAGACAAAGTAAATGGAGCCGGAGCGTAACCCAAGGCTCAGCCCACGTGTATAGAAGCCAAACAACTTCTAAAATGACCGCCAAACGTCACGTAGTCGCATAAACAAAGCATTATAAATAGCTAGCTGCGCAAGTCATCCACTTACTGGACTTAGAGAATAAAAAGGACCCACCCAAATTCAGTTCTAACAGGTACGGGGGTTTAAATCAGCCCAAAAATCTGTGAAAATAAGAGGCCTCGTCCATCAACCTTTGATTGAGTCTAGGACTAAAGTAG